AGGATTCCTCCAATCTGATGGAGGAGGCAGAGCCCTCTATCTGACGGGAAAAACAGGCTCTGCCTTCCCAGGCCCCAGACTGGAGTAGAAAGTGGTGATAGACACATGCTTGTGCCCCCTCCCCCCTAGGCACTGCGCAGGATTTAAAAAGAGAAATTATCCGACTCTCAGAGAGGGTATGTAACTTGCCCAAAGTCACACAGCATGTAGTAGCAGATTCAGGTCAGAGTCCCAAAGAGCAATGCTTTCCCTGCCACCCTGCAGTCCCAGGCCCCTCCCTGCTCCCTGGGGCTGGAGTCAGTGTCAGGCCAGGAGAGCAGAGGGATCATGGGGAGCTCAAAGCTCCCCCCTTAACTAAGTTTGGGTTCCTGCTACAGAGCTGGACTCCACAGCCATGTGTGGGGGCCATGGGTTGTGCCAGGAAGTGCTGAGGACAGGAGCTCTTCTTGCTAGAGCTCAGAAAAAACAGCAGACAGGGCTTCGGGAAACAAAGAAAATAAAGTCATAATAAAATTACAGAGTTTCTGTGGCCATCCAGGCTTCCTCCAAAGGGAGCTGTTCCCAGAAAACAGGGGGTGGGGGGATCAGCGCCCCAGGAAGCCAGTCTGAGATTTCCACACACATTTCTCTCTGCTTCTGCCCACATGAAGTCCCGGGGAGTCTCTATTGCTCCCTTTCCACGAGCCTGGAAGCTGTTTCCCTTTGTGTGCCCCATACAACCCCAGGGATGCTTCAAGCACCCATCTGTCTCTCCATGTAGTTCCACCCAGCCCATGAATCCTGTGTGCCCCCTGCCTACGTGTGCATACTCAGTCCCTGTGCCTGGGTTGGTCTCAGCTTGCCTGGCTACGATTCATCTGAGGTCTTCATTTTTGTTTTTTGTGCTACTGGGGATTGAACCCAGGAACTAACTGAGCTGCATCCTTCCCTCTCTCCACATTCCCTTTTTTGAAAATTTATTTTGAGACAGGTTCTTGCTAAGTGCTCTGGGCTGGGCTCAGACTTGCAATCCTCCTGCCTCAGCCTCCACAGAGTGCTGTGATTACAGGTGTGCAACACCACGCCTGACTGGGCTTTTGTATTTTGAGGCATGGTTTCACCCAGAGTTGGCTGAGGAACGGGGAGCCTGAGAGAGGCCACGTCTCCCTTACTGAGCTTGTCCACCTCGAAGGGACAGCAGTCCCCAAGGACTCCCTGAGGGATTCTCTCCCTGGCACCCAACAGCCCTACAGGTCAGAGAAGGGGTAAAATTGGGTAGAGTGGAGAGAAGCTGGCGTCAAAGGAACCCGCTCCTTGGAAGGAAAGAAGCTAGGAGAGAAATGAACAAGAGGGGAAGACATGGAAGAGATATTTTGGGTCCACTGACTTTTTCTTTTTTAAATGTCTTTTTTTTTGATACCAGGGATCGAACTCGGGGCCTTGTGTTCAAGAGGCAGGTGGTGGAACCACTGAGCTAAATCCCCGGCGACTTTTTCTTTTGCACCATAATTGTTTAAACATTACCGTCTGAGATAGGAGCTCCCAGGTAAAGGGGGACCAAGCTCCTTTGTGGCCAGGATTGGTTGATAGGGTCTTAGGTTTTTGTTTTGTTTTGGGTTTTTCTGTGTGTTTTTGAGACAGGATCTCGATATGTAGTTCAAGTTGGTCTTGAACTCATGAAGCCCAGGCTGGCATGGAACTCCCACCTCAGCCTCCCAAGTGCCGGGATGACAGCACCACACCTGGCAGTGAGGGTCTTTGAGGAGGCCTAAGGCCCACCCTCCCTGCTTGGGTCCCATCACATCCCTGACTGTCCCCTCCCAAGCCAGAGGAAGCCTGCAAGGTGAAGAGCGACCCCAGGCAAGTTGGGGATGGGGACACCTGTCGGATGCTTTGGGAAAGGAAGAGGACAGAGAACTGAGAGGTTCGCCACCACTGTGATGGGAGGAATTGAACTGGACCCCAGGCAGAACCAGAAATCCGAACTGGGGTTTGGGGTGGGGGAACAGAATGGGAGTGGCACCAGCCCTGGGAGGCAGGAAGTCACCGCCCGGCTTCTCTGGCTGCTCCCCTCTCCCCTCATCCCTTGTAAGTGCTGGGGACGTCCTTGATCTCCAGCCCCCCCCCCCCACCTCCCGTCTACACAGGCCTCGGCTACCCGGATAACATTCCATTGACTCTGGATTCGATCCCAGAGGCAAGTCCGGGCATTCAAACTCAAACGAGGCCGGGAGCTGAGTAATCGGCGGCTCTGGCCACGCAGACATTTTGTCGGGAGCGAGCACCTCCCCGCCCCCACCCGCACCACCGAGCTGGGGGTGGAGGAGGGGCAGCCTGTCACGCGGGCTTCCCACCCCCTCCCTCGTCCCACCTGCAAGTAATTTGGCCAATGGAAGGGCAGCTATGATTGCAGTGTGGAATCCTTCTAGATCTGGGTGCATTTGGTGAGGCGCCCCCTCCCCCAGGACCCCATGTAACCTTTTCCTCTTCACAGAAGCAAATTACTTATAATTATCTCACATCGAAAGGCTTCAGGAGCCACTTCCAAAATTACTTTAATTGAATTAATTGAATCTCATTTCGTTGGGGGAAAGAATGGGGGGCCTGCCTTAAAATAGTATATGGGGAGAGGGGAGGCGGTGACCCACAGGGGGGAAGCCCTCACCCCCGTCCCACATAGGTGACAGCAGCTCCTCGCGTCCTGGGCACTCAGACACACACATCCTCTGCCAGTGTCAGCAGACAGCAGATGCGCAGGCCCTTCTGCATTTGGACCCTACCTGGCCCTTGCTCTCAAGTAGTGGTGGCTGGTGACAGGGACGCATGGAGCCCCACCCGCCTCCCCACCCTGGAGGGAGGGAGGTCTGCCAGAGGCCAGAGGTGAACGGATGGCAGGGTGCACTCCCCTCCCCTCCCCGATAATCATAGCAGCAGCTATAAATGCCATTTATTAAGTGCTTGCTGTGTTCCAGGCACCGTGTCAAGCCTGTTACAAACACTATCTCGTTTCACCATCACAACCACAGCAGGAAGCAAGGCCTATTAGAATTCCCATCCCAGCGGGGAGGCAGGGCTCAGAGAGGAGTGAAGAAACTTGCCACAAGCCACCCAGCTCCATCCTGGCAGAGCTGGGACTCTTTGGAGACCAAAGTCCCCACTCAGTCTTGTCCCCACCACTGCCCCGCCCCCTTTTTTTCCTGGTGTTTTGAGACACAGGATCCCACTGTGTAATTTAGGCTGGCCCTGAACTCACTGTATACCCCAAATTGGCCTTCAACTCTAGATGATCCTCCCGCCTCAGCCTCCCGAGTGCTGGGATTACAGAGGTGCACCGCCATGCCTGGTTCCTTCCTTTATTGATCCAGAGTCCCCAGTGAAGCTTCCTCCTTGGCAGGACTGCCCTTCTGTAGTCCTGATGGCTTGAGGGAAGGGAATGGGGTGCCTCTTTCCTCAGGGAGGTTTAGGGTACATTGCCACCCAGGAGCCTAGAGGAATGTGGAAAAGAGATTCACATTTCCCCTGGAAGCTCGGGGGCACAGGGAGAGGAAGGGGCGCTGTCAGCTCAGCGGGCCATGGCTGGGAGAGCAATTACACTCCTTCTGCTACTTAACTTTACAACCGGGCTGTTGTTTTAACACTGCCACTGGAGTTGGGCTGTCCAATTAATCTGCCTTTGGAGGCTTTCCGAGATGGGTGGTAGATCTTATCTGGGCTCTGGGGAAAGAGGAGTGTGCAACCTGCAGTGGAGGGAACAGCTGCCCCAGGGCCTGTGGCCTCAGAGAAGGCCCAGGGCAGGCATCTGGGGCCAGGCCACCCATGAGCAGTACTGCCCCATGTCTGAGGAACAGAAAAGGGCACTGGAGGGGAACAGCGGCAGGTGCATCTCCTGGGGCTCTCCAGCACCTTGCTGCTCCTGGGCCTTGGCTTTGGCCCACCCCGTGTCATCTGCCACCCCGGCACTCCTCCATGTGTGTTCTGGGGAGTGAGGGAGGTCACTGACCCAGCAGGAAGGACTGCTTGTGAGCGCCCCAAGGGCGTCTATTGAAGTGACACCCTCTTTACCCAACTTTTGGAGAATTGACCCCAGGTTGGCTTCTCACTGGTGCTGGGTTTGCTGGGCACTCCTGAGAGGGCTTTTCAGTCTGGGGCACCCTGGCCCTTCCTTTGCAGTGCCTGGGAACAGGTTTAGGCAGTAAGAGGGAAGCTGGATTTGGGAGCCTTTTTGCCTGGAACTGGAGGCCCCTCCCCAGCCCCCAAGGCCATACCTGGCTGGATTCCTGAATGACTCGCCCGCCCTTGTCCTCACCTGTCCTGATCACCGTGCTGCATGTGCCAAGGGGTACAGTGGTCAGGAGTCACCGCTGGGCCCTGGCGCTCCCCAGCCTTTGCACTGGGCCCTGACCCCTGACAAGGCTGGACCGCAGCACCTGGGTAGTATCCACACTGCCTTCTGTCCTGCCCTTCATCTGGCATCTGTCACACTGCCTTGGGTCATTCGTCAGATCCCTGAAGGGTCTGCCTTGGTCACCATCGTATCTAAGATGTGTGTTGGATAGAGGAGAATTCAGCTTCTGGTATTTTCCTTTTCCCCCTCCTTCCCAAGGTGGGCTGAGGCCATTCCATCCCAGCACACATTTCTCCAGGGGACACTGGGCTGGCTCAAGGGCATGTCCTTTCTCCAGGTGAGCAGGCCTCCACCTGGGGTTACAGGTGCAGAATGGGGACTGTGAGGCACCTGGCTCTCTCCACAACTGGGCCAGGAGAGGATCTGCAGGGAAGACCACTCAGGAATCAGTCCTTCCCAGCATGAATGTCTTCTGGTTTCACCACTGGAGCATAGGAGGCCTGGACGTTATCAGAACACTGCAGAGCAGGAGCAACAGAGCTAGCTAGGGACACAGAATCCAGTGCCTCTGGCTTTAGCTCAGTGGAGGACAAGTTAGATGGGAGAGAAGGTATGAGTGACTTGCCTCAACCCTGGTGACATCAGGAGACAAACACATTTTGCAGCTGTAGCATTTGAGTGTTTTTGTTTTATTTTTGTCTTGGTGCTGGGATTGAACCTGGGACCTCATGCCTTCTAAGTGTGTGCTCCACCTCTGAGCCACACCCTTGTTCCTGAAGTCACATCTGAACACCAGGAAAAATCACAACTGGGCAGGTATGACCTGCTGGTGGCCAACTCTGAAGACTAGATGTCCACTTCTGCTTTTGCTCACAAATGGAGTGAGTAGCAGGGTGTGGTGGCGCACACCTGTAATCCCAGCCCTTGGGAAGCAGAGGCAGGAGGATCACCACGAGTTCGAGGCTAGCCTAGGGTACCCAGTATGCTCAAGGCCAGTCTGAACTACACAGTGAGACCCTGTCAGGAAAACAAACAAACAACAAAATGAGATGAGCAGGGTCCAAGGCTCACATAGAAAAAAAATACAAAGTGTTTCTGACTCCAGACTTCGGTGGAACTGCAGTCCTGTGAAGGGGAGGTGTATCCCAGGGCAGTTCAGACTCCAGCCCAGGGCACTCGCCAGAGCTTTTGTCCTGCAGGAGTGGGAGGGGCTGATAACGAAGGCTGAGTCCTTGATTTAGCTGTTTGAGTTAGCCCGACATCACTGCACCCCTTTTTCTCTTCTAGCTCCTCCTCCTGGGGAAACCTACATGGGCCTGGCTTCTTTCTGTCCAGCAGAGGTGCAGGTGCTCTGGATCCTGGGCTTGGCAGGAGGGCAGGGGCGCCCTGCCCCAGACTCACATCATCGGAGGCACAGCCAGCACATCTGGAGAGTGATGCTGACACCAGGCTCCAAAGCCATTACCATAGCCACCGGTGGGCAGGGTGCCTGCCTTGGGCAGATCCCAGAGGGATGGAAGGGGTGGGGAGCAAGGAGGAAGGGAGGGGGGTCTCCTGGGGAAGTCCCCTTCCTGCCCCCCAGAGTTCTGTTTCAGGAGCTTCTTGTACTTGGAGCGCTTGTTCTGAAACCAGATCTTTACCTTTGGGGAGAAGAGGGGACAGAATGAAAGATCAGGAGAATGCATGGAAGAGAAAGGGACCCAGCCCTAGGCAGCAGGTTCCAGGAGGGGGGCAGAGGTTTGGGAACACTTGCTGTGGTTCTCCATAGCCCAGGAGCTCCCCCTCCCCAGCTAGTATGCACTTCCGGTTGTTGTCTGGGGTGCCTTCCTCTACTTGAACCTCCCACACAACCCACTTCTAGTACATTCCGCCAATCCTCGCTGAGGCCCAGCTATGAACACCTCCTGAGAGAAGTTGGCGACATGGCCAGGGGACTGGTGGCCACTCACACCTTGGGGAGAGTTCCCAGAGGCAGGCATGGGAAGGACGGGCCTGGCCCCACCTGGGTCTGGGTGAGGCCAAGCTGTGCTGCCAGCTGGGCCCTCTCAGGCAATGCCAGGTATTGCGTGTGCTGGAAACACTGGTTCAGCCGCTGCAGCTGCAGGCTTGAGTAGATGGTCCTGGGCTTTCGAAGCTTCTTGGTGGGGATCTGGGGGTGTCTCTCCAAAGGCTCTGGGGACAGCATAAGGAGGTGTGTGTAGGGTAGGACAGGGGTGCCCATAGCCTCATCTTCACCTGGTCTGTGTCCCAGGGAAGAATGAGCAAGCAGTAAGTGCAGCCTGGCCCCTGCCTTTCTCTGGCTTTTCAACCTCCACCTTCAGGCTGCACCCAGTGATACAAGGCCGTTTGTTCCTTTCCCCAGGGAGCTCCCATTTTGGGGCTCTGAATGCAGAAAGTGCCAAGGGTCAAGAGCGAGGGTGCCCAGGATCTGCTCCAGTGTAGTGGCTTGGGGTTGGTGGGGAAAAGCTCTGGGCATTCGCAGTGCAGGGACCTGGAAAGCAATGTTCACAGGCCAGAGTGTGCGAAAGGCCTCAGAGGGTGAGAACTGACCCCGGAATTTTCTCCCCTGTCCTCCCCACCAGGTGCAGAGGGGATATTTGTTGCGGCCCCAAAAGCCAGATCAGTGTGGGGCTGTCCTGTCCTACACTTGCCCACCCGGCACAGTGGGTTCCCGCGTTAGGCAGGGTTATTGGGACTGGAAGAGCAGATGTGGTCCCCTCCTTCCCTCCTTCAGGCCTCGCTCTCCAGGACTCCCCGGAACGGGCGCTGGGACCTAGAATAGGCATCGAAGGTGGAGGCCAAGGGGCCCCAACCCGAGCCATTCTATTTGGCCCCTGCGCGAGTCCCAAGCGGCCGGATTACCCGCGGGCGTGGGTCAGCCTGCAGACCCCAGACGACAAGAGAACGGCCAGAGCCCAGGCGCGCCTCCTGCCCATCTCTCTAGTCGGGCTCACTCCACACTCAAGTCAGGGTCCGGCCCTGGGCCAGCCACAGTCGCCCGTCGCCTTCGCCTCCCCCGCATCCCTCACTCGGGGCCTCGGGCGCTGCGGGTTTCTCAGATCCTCCCCCCCACCTCGACCCTTGCCGATTCCCAGAAAAGCCCTTGGGTTTCCGATCCCGCCCGCGCCTGTCCGGCCTCCCCAGCTCCGACTCCACTGCGAGCAGCCTCGGGCCGGCAGCCGAGCGCCCGCCCGCGCCTCTGGCTGCGCAGAGCGCGCAATTCCAGCAGTGACGCCCAGAGCCGCGGGCTGAGCACTCCGAGCCTTTGCGCCTCAATCTCAGAGCGGAACCCCCCCAAGTTCCTCCCGGGACAGCTGCCTTTCTGCACACCAGTTACAGCAAGTCACAACTGGATCAGCTCTGGTCTCGATAACCTAACCTCAGGGCCTCCCTCCAGGCGCCGCCGCACCCACCGGCTCCAAGGGGTTTTGGCCAAACTCGTCCCTCGGGCGGAGGTGAACCCCAATCCCTCTCACACCCCAATCGTTCACTCTAGAGTGGGCTGAGCGCCCCAGTTCCAATATAGAGATGTTACGGTCTATCGTGCGGACGTGTGCGTGGCTTTTCGTTGGATCCGGGTAAACTAAAGAAATGGAATCCCCACGAGGGACCCCTTAGACAACCAGAGGGAGGGCACGGAGGGGTGAAGACTGGCCAGAGGAACCCATCCCATCGCCAACAGTTCTCGGAGGGAAGGTCAGGTTCTTCCCACCCCGCACCTCAAACGTGCCCCCAAACGCACGCGCCTGCGTGAATGTGCGCGCTGACACCCAATTAGCACTTACTTATAAGAGTCCAAGGGATTCATTTATAGGAAACCCCCCAACTGCCCCTGCTCCAAACAGAACCAGAAGTCTGGGAGAGGCAGCTCCAGTTTTGCCACGGGCAATTAACGTTGGGGGTGGGGGTGGAGGAAATTCCCTAAAATCTTCTTTCCTGTCCCCACTCCGAGAAAGTGGATCTGCAAGGGCCGAGAGCCTGGAAAACAGGAACACCTTTCCTTCGTGCCTCAGTTTGCCCATTGGTAAACCAAGGAGGTTGAGCTCCCAACATTTGGTTCCTGAGTTGATTTGTCAGAGACAGGGACTGCAGCGGAGGCACTTGGTGGGTGTGGCCCTGGGAGGAGGCTGCACCGAAAACTATGGTGGGGGCACTGAAGTGGGGGGAGGGGTGCAGAGGGCCTTCCTCAAAGCCGGACCCATGCAGCCGAGTGTAGGGTAGGGCACTGGTCCTGCGCTGGTGAGGCCCAGAGCCAGGAAGGCCAGCCACCTCCTCGGCTCCATTGAGGCCTTGCAGGGAGCATGTTCTCAGGAGCTCTAAATTCTCCAAGCAAAAGCAACTGAGGCCCAACCTACCCCCAATCAAGGGTAGAGTTGGTGGGCGTGGCCCGTTCCTTTGATGGAAGGCTCAGGTGGCCAGGGAAAGATTAGAGACTGCCGGACCAGCCTGCGGCTCTGTTCTTTGAACAATGGGTGGTGGGTCCTACTCCCAGACTGGGCCTGGCCAACTTCCTGTCAAAGTCAGGCACCTTCAGGGGAAGGGGGTGGGGCCCGGGAAGAAGATGAAAGAGCCCCGCCTCCACGTCTACAGCCCTTCAGCAGGGACCTGATTTCTATTTAGCAGGGTTTGGCCTGAGCACTGCTTTTCCAGACCAGATGAATTCGCAGAGGGGGGACAAAGGGAAGGGGGAGCGTGCAGGATGGGGAGAACCCGGAGGAAGGGCAGGGCCCCCACCCCCACATCTGGATTGGTGCCGTTTTCCGTTATACGTCGGTACACACAACTTTCCGCTCCTCCGAGAGGGTGGGGTAGGGAGCCCTCCAGCCCGGCTTCACACAACTGCAAATCGAAACCAGGTCGGGTTTGAAAGGAGACCCTAGAGCAACTGCCCCCCCACCGCGCCTCCGCCCCCAGCTCATCCCATTGCTTTGCTCTTTCCTTATCCCAGATCCCGCGGTATCCGAGTCCGATTTGAACCCCGCTAGCTCCGTGCAAACAGACGAAGGCGAGGCTTAGGGGCGCACAGGAGTCGGACCCCAGAGGTGGGAAGAGCCGCCGCCGCAGCCGGACTTACCTGCCTCCGGTTCCTGTGGGAGCTCAGCGGGGCCGCGAAGGGGCTGTGAAGGCGCCGCAGGTTGCTGGCAGGACAGGTAGGAGTCTTCTAGGGTCGCCGGCCTGGTGTAGGAGTAGGACAGGAGGTGGCCAAACGGCCCAGAGTAGGACAGATCGGGGGAGGCTGCGGTTGCGGGGGACACGCCAAGCGGGTAGGCAGCCACCACCGACGGGACGGGGACGAGGTCCTGGAAGACAGCTTTGCAGGCGTCCCGGCCAGGGAGGGGGCAGGGCAGGGAGGTCATGGCGGCTGGTGCCCAGGGCCTAAGCCACAGCCGGATACGGCGTCAGCTCCCTGCACCAACCCTTTCCCGAGCCCTGTGCGGGAGCCCCCAGCCCCCAGCCCCCAGCCCCCAGCCAGCCACCCATACACTTAAGATCCCAGAGAAAGTGTCTCTCAGCGCCTCTTCCAGCTGAGACCTCGCATCCGGAAAAGGGGTTGGGGGGAACTCCCATGGTTTTCCCCTCCCCCCTTCATGTCCATGGGGGCCCCCCTACCCTCGTCCGGGTTCGGATCCCAGGACCCGAAGGCCCCCCTCCCGTTTAGACGCCCCGGATTGGCTGCCACATGCGGTGACCTCACCGAGGCCTGCAGCTGGGACCCGCCCCCCGGGGTAGCGCGTGCGGGGAAAGGGGAGGGGTGCGCTGCACGAGCTCCGGGCGCGTCTGTCTCCGGGTCCGCTCCACGAACGGTGCCGAAGTTGCAGGGTGATTGGTGCCGTCAGGGGACCTCGGTGGAAATGGCACATGTGCTGGACAGTTGGTGGGTCTGGGTCGCCCATGGGCGAAGGGAGCAGCGCAGCGGGCCGAGGAGGCGGAGACGCAGGGGATTGCGTTCTTGCTGCCCGCGGTCGGGGTTCGAGCTGGTTCTGGTTCTGCTGCCTCGGACCTGCAGAGGAGCCGGGAGCCGCCCGCCTGCGCCCGCAGCTTATTCAGCGCGTCGGAATGCGTAGCTGCCCGGCGCTGGCAGTTTGTTGGTAAACAGACGCCAGGCGGGGAAGGTGCTGCCGGGCCTCGCACGCGCGAGCCGCGCACGCCCCCGCGGAGCGCCCTCGGCCTGGCACGCCGCGACAGCCGCAACTGCGTCTCACCGCCCCCGGTGCCGGCTTCCGCTTCCGGCAGGGGCCCCCGTGTGGTTGCGACACCGCGGCGGCTGCAGGAGGCATCTGCCATCTGAGCTTTAGCCTGTATTGCGCCTCGCCTTTCCTGGCGCCGCGTGCGGCTGAAGCCTGGCATGAGCCCAGACGAGATCTAGGAGTGGGGTTGAGCCCAGTGTGATGGCTCCTTGGAAGGCGCAGGAAACACTGCAGGCGGGTCCCCCTGTATGCATTTCCCAGGGCTGTTTGCAGGACTGGCCTCTAAGTATTCGCACCCAAGGATTGGAGGGACACATGTCCACAGATCTAAGCATCTGTTGGCATATGTGCCCAACTGGACGGGGAATCCATTCAAATACAACGTGTTTATTCGCATAGACCAATATACAGGTGTCTAAACAGATGTGCACACTGGCGTCCCTCCGTGAAAAGAGAGCTCCCCGCAAACACATAGATCTGCAAACACGGAGTTTATTTAGGCTGTGATGTACACACTCTACCTACCCAAGGTGAATAGTAAATCCCTGCGTAAAATTCAGGAACTTATCTCTTCCAGAGACCTACGAGTATACAAGTCAAATTTCTTGTATGAATATTCACAATCACAGAAAATCCAAGCATAGCATTTGTGTACGTGTACCTACCCTGTGAGAGATACCTGTCCACACATACATGAGCTGCTTCAAATTAGGAAAGAGAGTGTCAGCCCCAAGCCCAGAAATCTGAACAGATTCCCTAGCACCCCGCACATCTCCCACTGTGTACAAATTGGTGGGCATCTTCATGTTTGCACACACAAGCACACACACATGCTCTTGTGATCAAGGCTCAGAGTGAAGGCAGCAGCGTCAGAGGATGGGAGAGGACAACTGTCAGAGAAAGAAGGTGGCCATGGCCATCCTCCTTGAAGGGACAGAAAATCAAGGGGTGTGAGGGATGGTTGAAGTCCACACTTGGATGTCCTGCAGGGCGGAGAGCAATCTACTTCAAACTACACCCCCTCACCACTGACAGAAGTGAGTTTTCCCAGGAAAAACACTTCCCTGTCGCCTGCTTGGAGCTCTCTGCCCTGAAGCCTCAGAGCTCTGAGGCAGGGACTCTTCCTTCCCCGGGAGGCTGGAGAACCCACTCCCCTGTCATCCAACAGGGTGTGAGATTTTGCTCAGTGGAGAAATGCTATTGCCCTGGGGGCACAGTGGCACTCACCTGTAATCCCAGCACTTTGGGAAGCTGAGGCCAGAGGATTGAAAGCTCAGTTACCACCTGGGCAATTTGGCAAGACTGTGTCTCAAAATAAAAAATTAAAAATGCAGAGGATGTAGCTCAGCCCTTGGTGGAATATCCCTGGGTCTGGTCCCCCCAAAATTCATTGTCATGTGGGGCCACCTTTTCCTCTTTTTTTACCCAGCCCTGCCACCACCTCCTTACAGCTGGAGCTGTTGACCTCTGAGAATCGCTCCTTTCCAACATTCCTAGCACCATCAGCCCCCTCTGGAGGGGTTGGGATGGGGAGTCCCCGGCATGGCATCTCTGGGTACATGGAAGATGCTCTATGAGGTGTGGTTGGCAGTCGGGAGGTTTCACAAAGGAGATGCTTTGGGGCTGGGATTAAAAGGATGATAGGGGTACTTCCTCCCAGGCCATATTCCCAGAACCCTGAGTCCTGTGTCCAACCTAGCAAGGGCAAGGGTGGGTTGTCTGGCAGGCCCCACAGCAGCTGGCTCCAGGCATCCTCCAAAGCTGGCCATCCATAGTGCACTCCTCTCCTAAGCTCTTCTGTGCATATGGGGTTTCTCTGAATCCTGCAGGACCCTCACCCTATGCATCAGCAGGAAGCACCCTACCGAACAAACACTCAACATCCAAGCTCTGTGCCTTTTTGCAGAAACCCTGCCAAGTAGGTTCTATTATTACCCCTTCTGCAAAGGAGGAAACTTCTCCCCTCATCACACCTCCCTCCTCCCATACTCCAAAGAGTATGGGGCTGGGGCACCTTGTGGGGAAACCTTGGGTGTCTGCCTAGATGCAGACTCCCCAGGGCAGGCGGAAGTGATGGGGAGGAGGGCTAAGAAGGGCCATAATTGAGTATTTGATCAGAATGGCCGAAGGGCTGGCCTCAGAGGCCAGAGGCCTGGGTTGCTCTCCCACCTCAGGCTCCAAAGTGGCTGGCTGTGAAATTCTGGGTCAGCCCTTTCCTGTCTCTGAGGCTACCAGAAGGAATAAAAGTGAGGAGCTGGCCCAAGATTCCAGGCCTTTGTTATTTGCTAAACGGTGACCTGCAAAACCCCAGACCCCAAAACATAAAACTGACAAGGGGGAGGTGGTGGAAGAAGGGGGGGGGGAAGGAAGGAAGGAAGGAGGGAGGAAATGAGGAAGGGAAGAGGACAAAACAAATGGAACTGACTCTTCTATCACCACCAGTGCTGCAGTCCCTGAGGCTTGCTAGAGCCCAAAGTGACATCCTAAGGTTTTCCCCGCATGGATCTTCCGCCTTAATGGAGGGGGTCATGCTGGAGAACCCAGCATCCAGGCCACACCCTGAGTCAGAGGAGGGGGTCCTGAGTTTTCGGGGGAGGAATGACATCACTGCCTCAGGGCGTTGTTGGCCTGTGCTATCCCCTCACACACACACACCCCTACTCCGGGATTGAACCCAGGGGCTTCACGCTGAGCTATTTCCTCCACCAGCTGTTTTAAAAATTTTTTATTTTGAGACAGGATCTTGCTAAATTGCCCAGGCTGGGCTCAAACTCGAAATCCTCCTCCCTCCCAGAATGCTGGGATTACAGGCATCCACCACCATGCCAGGCTCCAGCTCTTTGCTGGTAGACCACAAACGCTGGCCCACTGGACTGGGTGAAACTCTCTGGGGCAGTATTAACCCTGCCCATTCCTCCCATTCCTTCGAGCCCTGACCCTCAGTACCAGGAGTTCCACCAGAGCCCGCACCGTCCTGGCTGCTCGAGGCTGGCATCCCGAGCACGAGGGGATGTACAGGAGCCTCAGTGTAGTTGCTGGGCTCTGCCCATCACACCGGAGCAAAGGGATGCTTGTGAGCCTGGATTCGGGCGCTGGGCGTAACTCCGCGGTGTGTGTGTGGGGGGGGGGGCTGTAACCCCGCCCGGATCTGCTCAGGGAAAAGGAGATGCGACGGCTACCCCAGGTCTCGGAGCTTGGAGGACCTCAGCTGTGACTCGCCTGACGCTTCGTCTCCATCCCACTCACCATCCCGAAATGAAATTTTGGTTTTGTTTTATATGTTCTCAGTGAGTTTTACATTTAAATGGGACTTTTCTTGGTACTTCGGTTGGAGGAGAGTGAATAATTCCGTTGTGCAAGAAGGGCAGTATGAAAAGAATCGAATCCTGGCCCGGAGGCCTGGGGAAGCGCAGCTGGCAGAGGCCTGTGCACCTCCTCGATTTGACTTTTCTTCATACGGCACCCTTGGGTCCCTTCCTTTTTTTGATTGAGCATTGAATGAGCGCCGGCCCAAGCGGGGGTGCTGGCTGGTCGCTGAGGCCGATGCCAGCCCCGCTTCGCCGTGGCTCACCTCCAAGGACCCCTCTCGGGAGTTCCCGCCCGTTTTCCAAATCGCCCCGCAGAAGCTGTCGGAGGAGGGGGAGGGGAGAGCCCTTGCGACAGCGCCACTCGGCCCCGCAGCGCGCGCCTGGGGTTCCCTGCGAGGTCTCCGTCACGCTCCACGCTCACGCTCTCCGCGCGTCTCCGCTGCAGGAAATTTTTGTATTCGGGATTGACCGGTACGTTTTAAGAGCACACGGATATGAAATCACCAGACACGTTAAAAGCAAAAGCACGAACAATTCTTTAACCAGGACATCCCGACCCCTAAAAGAAAACGGTTAACCCAAAGCAGGACGGTTTGAAGCTGTGCTGGCGGCGCCTCTGTGGTGAGGGAGCCATGCGGCTGAACCTCGCGGGCTCAGGAGCGGGTCTGGCCCGGAGTCGGGGCGCGCAGGCCGCCGGGCGTCCCAGCCAGTGTCCCACTGGTGGACCGGAGAGAGGGGACAGACCCAGGACCGCGCGCCTGGCGCCCGCGATCGCCGCGAGCTAGTGGGGGCCCCAGGCCGACCCGGCTACAACGAATTCGCCCTTCCCGGAACGAAGGCTTCTGGGCCGGTATCTCCAGACCTTCTCAGACCCGGACACGAAAATCAGGGCGCTTTGCCGACGTCTTCACGGCTGGGTCTGGGGTGAAAGCTAAAGGTGGACACGGTGGGATTTGGAAGGTGCGTCTAAACCTGCAAAAACCAAGCGAATGCCGGGCGTGGTAACGCATGCCTGTAATCCCAGCACTTGGGAGGCTGAGGCAGGAGGATCGCCTTGAGTTCAAGGCCAACCTGGGCTACACATCCAGACCCTATGTAATAAAAAAAAAAAAAAAGGAAAAAAAGAAAACCAAAACAAACAAAAATCCAAGCGAGCGTGTGCACGGGCGTCTGCAAAATCCCACACAACACACGCACGTGGTAGACACGCAGAAATGGACCCCCACAGTATCCCCAGTACATGCTCCGCTGGCAACCGTACAACACCCGCACCGTGCACACGGCCACCT